CTATAATCTTACAGTCATTATTCATGTTCGCACAGAAAAGCCTATTTTCATTAACCTTGTTTAGACTACAATTTTGTTACTTATCTATCTGTTAGCTTCTGTTGCATGCACTAATAATGAAGTTTTGTGGGAAAAAAAAAATCCAAACAACCCCACCACCACCACACAATTTAGCAAAGGCAAAACAAATAATTTGAATTTATGCTACAAGGTCTTGTCTTAAAGACAGTTAAATCCCCAGCCACACTCTTAACTGAAACATTTGAAAATGTTTGTACAAAGAAAGTTTTCAACTGTCTGTCCTGTATTCAAGAGCTTCTGTATGGTCCTACAAGATGTATCACTTTCAAGTAATACAATCTTAGCAAATAAATCAAATCAAAATGACCAATCTTAGCCATACACACATACAAAGCAGTACTGAAAAACCGTCACTTGAGAATAGTAAAAGTACATGACAGAGAGAATTAAAAAAGCAGAGAGGTCAGAGAATCATTAGTACGCAAAAGAAGTATTAGCAAAATGAAATTGTACAGGGAACTGTACCATCAATGCCTTCCTGCTGATTTCAATCTTACTTTTAAAGGTTCAGCACAGACAACTAAGGTGACCACATATTTGCTACTAACAAAGGCAGAAAATCTTGCACGCAGGTTTTCCTAAACAAGAGCCAACGAAACCAGGGTCCCACCATACTCAACAGCTCAGATTTCAGAAAGCTGTTTTCAGTAAACCGATCAGATTTTAGAAAGTTGTTTTGAGTAAACACACTGATTTCAATGTCCCGTAACGTGGCGTATCTCAGGAACAGAAATGCAATCCAGATTAATCTGAAAAGCTGAGAATACCCTCCTCAATGGGTAGCAAAACAGGTTTCTGACCTGCCTGAAATCCAACTTAAAAACAGAAGTATTCATACCTACAGACAAAGCAAATGGATAAGAAAAGCAAGCCGTTACAACAAACGAGTTTTCGCTTTGTTCAAAAAATCATCACTGGGATATCACTTTTAAATGGCAGAAATAAACTGACTGACACACACATGGGTTTCCATTTCTGAAGTGCTGTCTCTGAACTATAAGCTTCTTGCAACAGATTTTTTTAAGAAAAAAACGGTTCTGTTAGTCTGTGCCAGATTTTAGATCTGTTAAGCAAGTATGAAAAGACCCATATGTCTGAATTCTAAAAGTCATAGCTCACCTTTCTCTTTCTTCTTTCCTCATCATCTAGATGCTTTTCTTTTTCCTTCTCAGACTTCTTTTTCTTTTTTTTCTTCTTTTCTTTATGTCGTTCTCGCTCATGATCTGATCTGTCGTCATAGTAACTGGAATCATGCCCCGACCCGGAAAGCTCAGTCACTTCACTTCCTCCAACTTTAAGCACCAGCTTTAAAGGTTTTTCCAGGGGCTTATCCACGTAATCTAAGTTTAAGTAGTAAAAGTTTTCATAAATGAAGGTGATAATGTACAGTAATTACTGATGTTTCTTCTCGAAATACTGTTTTCAAGATTTAGCTGCAGTTTGAGAAGACATGCGATGTATTTGGAGGGAATAATAACGGCATGCTAACAAATCCAAGATAAGAAAGTTGTTCAGCACGTTTTACATCACGATTTTCCCACAAACATAAGGAACTAACTCCTGGGCTTTCCCTGGAAACATCCCGAGACTCAGGTGAAACCAAGCGCCGCTCAGCCACTGCAGGAACCGGAATCCATCGGTAACAGCCGTTCTAAACACGGAGACGCTTAGGGGGTTGTCTCAAAACACCCCACAACCACCTGCCCCCACAACCACCGGCCCCTCCCGGGCCGCCTCCCGCTTCCCCTCTCCCGCCTCACACCCCGCCGCCTCCCTCCATCCCCGCCCCTCCCGGACAACGGGATGACGGCACCGGCGGCCTGGCCCCGGGGCGCTCGCCCACCTCCGGCAGCTCACACGTTCAGTCTAGGGCATCCCCCTTCCAGGCGCTCCGCTGCCACCCAGCCCACCGAGGGCCGCCGCCGGCAGCCATAGGGGGGTGAGGGCGATGGCTCCCCCCCCGCCGCGCGCCGCCTCTGTACCACCCCCGCTTCTTACCGCTGTAGGCGGTGGCGGAGGTCGAGCGCCATTCCGCCTTCTCTGCCTTGTGTTTCTTGTGCTTCTTCCC